GGGGGTGGCCACGCCATAATCCCTTCTCCTCCATTCTCTCGGGATCCTAGGCACGCACGCACACGCACCCAGCGTGAGTCTAAGCCACCAGGTCCGGGACTCAAACTGCGGTCTACTACATGGGAGTCCAGCGACATAGCCATTACGCCAACTGCTGGTCCCCCCATTTTTATTTTTGAATTTGCTAAGGGTGTGTTGAAAGAGACAGAGGGGTGTGTTTTCAGGTTGCCGAGTCTGAGATCTGAGCTCTGAAGTTCACTATGTGGGATCCAGCTGCCTTAACCAGCAGGCCACTGGCAGGCCTGGCATCAGTGTTGATGAAACGAGAAATCGAGAGGGATAACGCTGACTGTGGGAGGCTGGCCCCCACGGAACCGGCTGGGCTGGCTGGCTGTGGGCATCGTGGCGTCAAGGCCTGCCGGGGGTTTCTCTCCGTGAAATAGAGAGAAACTTCAGGGGAAAAAGATTCAGATAAGAAATTGGAGAAAAAAGAAGTGAGAAAAGGTGAGTGGATGAGCCCTCCAGGGCGTCAGCCAGCCTCCTGCCGCGATTTTACCAGCCTTCCTGTCTGGCAGCTTGCAAGCCCCGAGGAGAGGCTCTCTGTGCTCCCTAGGCCAGCACCTGGGCTGAGCCAGCTCCCTGCGAAGCTCACTGAGCGGGAGGGGGAGGACAGAGGCCCCAGCAGAGGGCACCCTCGGCAGGGACGTCCAGCTGTGGAGGGGGAGGGGCGCCAGCGACGCAGCTGCTAGAATTCAAGGTGAGCAGGGATTTCCCCCGCCCTGGCTTCCTTCCCAGTTTGGGAGGAAGTGGGCAGCTCCCAGTTTGACACCCACACTTTCCAGCCCTTCTCCCAGGGTAGGGGTAATGGACGGTTATTTTTCTTCTTTTCTTTCTTTTTCTTTTTTGCTTTTTTGGAGGTTTTTGACAGGGTGCATGCACTGGAGAGAGCGAGGCAGAGACAGTGAGAGGAACAATGAGGAATCATCCCAGGGTCGGGGCCGTGCCAGTCCCTCTCCATCCTCCTCCACGATCTGGGGCACGCACACACCCAGCGTGATTTCCTTTCTTCCTTTTTTCCCTCTAGAGATTTTTGGAATAGGGTGCATCGCTCACCAGAGACAGAAACCACCCCTCCAGGGAGGAGGGCCATGCCACAGTCCCTTCTCCATTCTCTCCTGACTGGGCGCACGCACGCGCGTGTGCACACACACACACACACACACACACACACACAGGCCTGGTGTGTTTTTTCAAGCCACCAGGTCCAGGACTCAAAATGCAATGTTGGCCATGTGGGAATTCAGTGCCTTTAAGCACCACACCACCTGCCAGCCCCTCTCTTTTCATTATTTTTTAAAAAGAATTATTTACTTATGGTAGCCCAGGGTTTACAAAACTCACAATATTGCCAGCCTCCTGGGAGGCAGGCAGGGATTCAGGCTTTAGGTGAGATTATTCCCATTTTACCCACGATAAAATGGAGGTTTCCTTAACAGGCTCTGGCCAGGGTCCTTGCGAAATTCCTGTGAAACTGTGCGGCCCTTCCTCTGTGGGGCCTCCTTACAGCTGTCCTGGGCCACCAGGTGCCCAGCTAGTCCCGGTCCCT